GGGCTGTCCCTCTGGCTCTGCGTCACCCTGATTTCCTCCTCCCCTTCCCTTGCTCTCTCTGACTGCCTGTGGTGCTTGGTGGCAGTGCTGGAAGTCACAGGCTGGCTGGGTGGGAGCTCTGAGCTAGCCCGGATGAGCAGGGCGGCTGGGGAAGGGGTCATGAGGGCAAGACCCTGTGCAGCTGCTTCTCTCTTCCCTGACCTGCACCCTCCATCGTAAGTTTACCTCACTGGTGAACCAGAACACAGTACATGTGTGCATGTACCATGTTCCACGCTCGGCTGATGCATAGACACAGGGGAAGCTTGAAGGGCTGCTCCCGTGGGCAGGAGCCACGTAGTAAGAGCTGCCACGGTGGATCCTGGGCGAGACAACGGAAGGAAGAGAGGAAGGGAGGCCTCTCCTGTTCGGGAGCCAGCTCTGCTGACTGAGCTGCCCCCCGGTGGCCAGCGCTGGCCTGAGCAGAGCCCCCTGGGTGCCTGGCACAGCATCAAGGGCAAAACAATTCCCTGGGACCTCAGTGAGTAAGGTGTGTCTGTGCTCGCTCCCTCAGCCTGGGCCCCAGGCCACCACTGTGACCCTGGCACAGAGGGGGAAGATGCTCTTGAAGCAGTTGCAGCTATTCCTGGGAAAGCAGGGAGGGTGAGCAGCCCTGGGTGCCCTTGCTAGCCAGGAGGCACCATGCCCATACTGCCAGGGAACCCCTCAGTCCCTGGACTCTCCCTTCTAAGATCTGCCCATCACCTCGTAGAGGGCTGGAGGGAGCCTGAGTCGCATTGACCTGGCGCCCGTGACCATGGGCTTACCTGGAAATAGGTCTCTGCAGATGTGACCACAATGTGCTGCAGTCAGCCTGGAAGGGCCCAGTCCTGTGACCAACACTGAGCGCCCGTGTGAGGAGACACAAAGACCCACGGCCAGGCCAGGAGTGTGGGGCAGGGCTGGGAGCCAGGGGACAGGCTTCTGGGCCCCACTGTAGGTAGAGGCAGGGAGGCTCCTCCAGGGAGGGACATGGCCCTGCCCACACCTGACTTCAGCCATGGGTTCTGGTCCCCAAATTAGGGTTCACAGGACTTGTTACTGCAGCCCCTTGGAAACCAACACAGTTCAAGTGTTCTGTACCCCTATTGGTTGGCTACCAAGGAAGCCACTTAAGCTTCAAGTGGCCAAACTTCCTGCAGGGCCCTTAAGGTCTTCGGTGGCTCCTTGGGCATTTATGGTGAGGGTGCCGGATAAGCTTGGTGCCACTGTGGCCCTGGCCGGTTGAGCTGCCTAGCTCAGCTGCCCGAGCCACGGTCAGTCTGCCAGTGAGAAGGGAAGGAGACCGGGAAGGTGGAGGACCCACAACTGGCCAAGTGGCCTCAACCCCCGGGTCTGAAGAGCGTGGGCTTGGGGAGGAGGGTCAAGTTGGCCACCCTGCAGCTCTGGGCCCCGCTCCATGGGTCTGGCTTGGAGCACAGAGGCAGGTGGGCATATGGAGAGTACCTGGGAGGCCCCTGCAGCAGTGGCAGCCTAGGGTGTCTCCCCACATGGGCTGCTATAGTCCACTCAGCGAGAAATAAGAGGACACCCAGACACAGCCGGATTTATTGGAGTTTATTGATTAAGCCGGCGGCATCTGGGGACTCATCTCTCTCAAAACCCACGGCCCCGTGTGAAAGGAGAAGGGAGCTTGTATAGGCCAAAAATGCACAATTTTTTTCCGGGACAACGTGAGGATTCACAAGGACAAGGTGGGGTGGGCTTGGAAGGGCAGGGGGTAAGGTTTTAGGCAGAAGCAGAAGAAGCAGGTTAACCATCCCTAAGGGGGTGTTCCATGCCTACAGAAGCACTCTAGGATGTCAATGGTCTTCATGGCTCAGGACAAGGGTCTGTCCACTGACGATGACCTCACTAAGGGACTTCTCAGGGTAGGGAGTTTCAGGTTACTTAGCAAAGACAGCAGAAGTGTTGATCACTTGTGTGCTCCAGGCAAAAGGAAAAGCAAGTCTCCAACCTAGAGAGGAGTTCAGCGTGGAGCTGTACCTCAGTGCCACCTCTCCACACGCACAGACTCCGTGCTGGTGCAAGCTGCCTGTGGCACAGGCTTGTCTGCAGGGCTCGGATGTCAGCTTTAGGCCCGGGACGCCCCAGTGACACACTCTCTAGTGGCTGGTCTCCTGTGGTGACGACTGACGGTGGCTGGTGCTGGGTTGACAGGACACGCAGAACTGTCGCCCTCCTGGGTCCAGTGGAGGACACTGCCCTGAGAGCCTGTCCCCCACCAGCACTGCAGTGTGCTCTGCTCAGTCTGACCTCAGGCTAACGACTACCCACCCTCTGGGTCATTCATAAAGAGCAGGGTGCACTTCGTGCAATGTCTGGGAGGGTCAAGGCTAGGGGCCATGTCTGGCCCACAGACAACCTGGTGGACAGCCTCACAAGGAGTGTGTCCACGTCTGCATCTCTGGTCTCTCGCCAGGATCCAACAACGGGGACCCCTTCATGTGACGGCAGCCCTAATCACCTACCCTGCAGCTGGACTGAGCTTGTATCTTACCCTCAGTGTCAAGAAGCGACCACATTTCAATATGTGAATCTTGGGGGACACACTCAAACTTAGCTCTCTCCTTCCAATGGGATGGAATGGACCCCAGTCTGGACCACTGAGGACTGCACACCTGCCAGAGCTGGAGAGAAAACACTGCCTTGGCCCTTAGGGGGAGTGACCATGAACTGGAGCTGTTTTTTTTTTTTCATTTGTTTGTTTGTTTTAAGACTTTTTTTAAATCATGCCTTAAGGCCTGTGTGCTCGCTGAAGGCAGACACACACACACACACTAAGAGGGAAAGTGAGAAATCACCCGCAGGGAGTCGGCCATACCACAATCCCTCCTGCTCCTGGGATCTTGGGAATAACGCACACCTATCCAGCATGATTTTCAAATGATCGGGTGGCGGACTCCATCGGCGGTTGCCCCTGTGGGAATTCAGCGACGGAACCACTCCGCCATCTGCTGGCCACTGGAGTTGGAGTTTAAAGCTGTATGGAGAGGTCCAGGCTGGGGACTACTGGGGCCTGGGAGTGGAAACTGCTTTCTTCCTTGGTGGGAGCCAAGAAGCGGCTGCTACCCTGGAACCAAGACCCGCAGACTCCACGCCCGCGTGGGCTGGGCACCAAGCACAGCCCCTTCCTTCCTGGTGATGAAGCCGGCGTCAAGGCTCTCATAAATACGAATGTTTATAAACTGAGGAGCCCCTCGCAGGGCAAGCACCAACAGAGTCAAGGGGATAGAGGAGAGCCTGACCAGGCAGCGGCTGCTGGACAGCACCAGGCACGCAGGGCTAAAGCGCGGATGCGGCTGGGGCTGTTGGGGGGCGCCGGACAGGGGGAGGGGGCCGAGGGGGGGCTGGGCGCCAACCCCCTTCCCCTCCCGCGGGCCC